TTTGTGGTTTAAGATCAAATTAATGTATTAAACAAAACTACACTGGTAAATGCGTTAGTAGGCTTATGATTGTATATAAATCACATTAAAAAGGATTACTTTCGGAAACTATTATTATTATTATATCGTTTATCAGTCATATAATTATTTGACTAGATATTGATATTAATTTAATTATGAGAGTAGAAAATAAAAATAAAGACACTATTATTATTGGTACTATATAAACTTGTGTTAATTTCATTTCGGCTATTTGTTTACTTTGAAGAAGTGACTTATTTTAAGTTACGAAATGTCTAAAGTACAATTTTTCTACTCATTGGGATATCACAAAAATATTATTATTAATGGCTTTATTCAATACTATACGTTTACTGCAATTCCCCACCTAAGTGTAAATTGTTACTCCAGGACTGGCCTGCGTCAAAACTTGAACTAAGGATAGGGAGCGAAGTAGTCGAACGCGTCGACAACTTCACTTTTCTTGGAAGTTTGATCAACCCTAATACGTTGGTATCTGACGAAATCTCAGCACGGATTCAGAAAGTTCGTTTGGCTTTGCCAACTTACGTCACCTATGGCGAAGACGAGATATCCGTCTATCAATTAAGGGACGAGTATACTGCGCAGCAGTTCGCTCTGTTCTACTTTACGGCTGCGAAACATGGCCATTAAGAGTAGAAGATACTCGTAAGTTACTAGTATTTGACAACAGATGCCTTAGAAATATTGCTCGCATCTGCTGGGATAACCGGGTAAGTAATAGTGAGGTTAGACGCAGGGTATTAGGGAACGATGGTAAATCAGTTGATGAGGTCATGAATCTTCATCGACTGAGATGGTTGGACCACGTGTTACGTATGCCTGAACACCGATTACCACGACGCGCAATGTTGACTAGTATTGGGGATGGTTGGAAGAGAGTTAGGGGCGGCCAAACCAAAACATGGCACCAGTGCTTGAAGTCACTATTTTCTAGTCTGAGCCATGTTGGTAGGTGCAGACTACCTGGTTGGGGTTCGCGTGACTATCGTAACCAATGGTTGGAGACTCTAGGTGACATGGCTCAGGATCGATCACAATGGCGTAGGTGTATACACTCTTTATCTTCCCTTAAACCTTGAGATTAAAATTGCTTCATAACTTTTTTCCTTCCTATACTATATCCTTCTATACAACCTTTCTCTATATATTACCACCACTAAATTAATTACTTCTATGAATCCGGTGTTCATTTTGTTGTGCTAACGAGATATGGCAACTTGGACCGATGCATATGTGTGCCTGGTCCTACGTTGTAGCTGACTGACTGAGTGCAATTCTCAAAATTTTAATTCAACAATTTTCCTTTGCAAAACAAAAAATGACAACTAAATACAAACATAAACTAAATGGAATTAAATTAAATATCTTTTTAATGAGACTAGAGTCTGTATAACTTTTAATTAGAAACATGTTTAAGAATACAGGTTATTGACTACGTTAGCTCTTACAACCTGGTCGTCACAGTATATTCGCTAAGTAAGGTATTGCAGAGCCTTAGTATATTTGTTAGTGTGTATGGATTTTAAGGAATATATAACATAATCTAGTAATCATTTCAGTTACCAAGGGAATGGTATTTTGGATACATCAATTAGAATGTGTTCAATCAAAGCAAGGATTAGAAAGATGAATTTGAATACGATGGTTTAACGGTATAATTTTTTATCACAAATTAATGGCAGTTGGAGGGCTACTAAATAACGAAAAAGGAGAAGCCTGTTAACTTTGTATTAAATAGTATCTAAGCTTCTTACCTTTTTGAAAACTACACTTGCAGAAATCCGATTTGAAGGTGAACACGAAAACTATAAACATTGCTAAACTCAAACATATGAACTTGGCTTTGTTAAAACACAAGTTATCATCGTTACGGGGCATTGAGACTTCGATAAGTAGTATTGTGTTTAACTAAACCTGAATTCGCACCTAAATTTATACATATTAAGATAGTTATGGCAGTGTTTACTTGTTTTATTTATTCTCATAAAAGAGAACAAAATAAATAGACAGTAAGGTATGGCTTAATGGCTGAAACACTCAGTATTCAACCAATTTACAAGTTCTCTCTGCTTTGGTTTGAACAGTTTGAAGTAGAGTATACCAAACTGTACGTGGCTTATGAGTTACGTGAATACCACCTAATCATTAATCAAGCATATACTTTAATAAGAATATTATAAAAAGATCTCAGAAAAGATCATTTGTCCTAGTTTTTGGTAGGCGGTGTCCATACTACTAAGTAAAACTGTTGGACAGTAAATTATTTTTATGATGGAAAGAAATCGACGCCATCTTGTAAATACAACTGCCAAGGCTTTAAGACTTTATTGACCATAAAGATAACTACAACTCAATTATATGTGTACTGCCTAAGCAGTGTTTGCTTTTATGTTGACGATGGACTGTAACTCATAATCACCATAAAACCGGGTGAATGAAAAAAACGTAGTTAAATAACGATAAACCCTAAGAATGAATTGTTTATTATTGCACACAACATTCTTTATTTCAATACACTGAAGGTTCTATGATACTATTTGGAATAGATCAAAAGTATAAAAATAAACAAGTCAAAGCATTATTAGCGCTAAATTCATGTAAGCATACCGACTATAAACGTCGTTCTTTTACTTTTGACAGGTTAACATAAACAGTTAGTATTAATTCATAATTTTTGTTCTTCACTTATTGTTAAAACTATATTTCCCATATTTAAATTTTTAATGTGTTTAACACTATTGGCTCTTCTACTTGCAGTGTCGGTTACTTTGCTAAGCCCAAATAACTTATTATAACTTCTGGACAGGCCAATTTATTCATTCTTCTTGAGTCACGTTTCGACCTTGTTAATTATTTACTTATCAACCATGACGGTTTTTATATGGGCGTATGTGTGCACATCTTATCCGACTCATCACATGTCTGTAGCTTATTTTTGTGTAACTATAGATAATGACTAACGCTTGATTAAATCGAGTTGGTTCATATGCCATCTCCACTGCATTTTGCTCTCTTCTCTTCATCCCTCTCAATGTCTGTTCAGATTGATGAGTGTACAAAATATACGTATTCGAAATTTATTCTCGTATTTGACTTATTTAATTCCGTTATTCACTAGCGCGATTTAAGTTAATAATTATCTACGAGGATTAACGATATGTATATTTCATTGACATTCATACGATCCAATTAGATTAACATTCAGGGCCATAAAATACTTCACATATCGTTGATTTTGTGATTTCTGCTAATATGCAATGTAACAAATTGGATCGATGAACATTCACAGTATATTCCACGTTAACTATTAATCACCAGTTTTGGGGGATCAAAACTTTTCGTTTGTGTCACGTAATCTTTTATGAATATACCACTACTAAATATCATTAAAATTTCAACCAGCGTTTGCTATATTTCCCGCATTATTTACAATGCTGAAGAAACTATAACTATTAAAATGTTATGTTTCATATACTAAATGTACCATGTTAATGGGAGGCCCAGTGCCTTACCATTATATTGGAATGGCATATTCGGAATGCTCCATATAAAATCTAACAAGTCCTCTATATTTATATACTTCACCTTAAGAAATATCCAGGCTATTCACCGAAATTGTTTTAATGTGTGAAATTTTTAAATTCATAACATAATTTTAATTGCTATTACATAAACTGTGTAAATCAATTTAATTTATGAATAACATACTACGTCTATATCGGTCCAATTTGTTTTTAGCCAACTGATTCTACTGTCCTCATTTGATGATTCAAGCGAATCTCACATTTTTTAGTATGAAACAAAACAGACAAATTATGTTTTCCCATTTATTCAGAAATAAGTTGACAAATTTCGAAATATTCAACTAATTATAATTAATGAGCGTAATCTTTTCAAACTGTCATTGTTTATAATTACTGTAAACAGGGGATGGATGTATAAAATAAAAGCATACATTTCATGTAGTATGCCTACATCATCATAAATACTCTATAATTAGGCAAACAACAATTATAAGCAAAATATGGTTATCAAATGATTTAAAACGCCTACCAGTTTCTACCTAAGTAGCCAAATGGTATAATACTTCACATAGTGTGCAAATTAAAAATGACTAATTGTACCTGAAATTAATTACTGGCTCATATAAAAGACTGCGGGAAAAAACATCTACTGATCAGTCTCATTCAATCAAGTTCTCTGACAGAAGTGTTTTAGGTAAGAGGCGCATGCACACTTGATGCTTTTTTGATGATGGCAGTATCCACCAAATATTAACTAACCTAGATAACTATGTTGTTTTTGGGAGAAATTTTCAAAACTAACTACCAATCAAACAAAAAACTTTAAAATGCACGATCTTATACTAATGGAGAGATATGCACACTTCTACCGCTAACACATTTCTTATTAACAATTGAAATAAGAAAAAACAGCTTATTACAAATTCTGTTTTTTCTATGAACCAACAACTGTATAATTTATGGGACTGATAGTGTTGCAAAATCTGTTTAGACAGAGATGACCAGAGGATTCAGTAGGTCTTTTCTATATACAATGAGATAGCCACAGAACACTTACTAAATAAAGAAATCAACAATTCCTCATCAGAAAGCAATGGAAACTGTGTGACGAAATGAAGGTACATCTGTTTGGAAATTATCACACAAAAAGATAATCGGGACCTATTGTACCAATAAACTGCCGACCATTCACAATCGTTTCGCTGAGTCAAAAGTGGATACTACTAGTAAAGATTTTGATACATAAGCAACTGTTCCAGATAAAAGAGAAATATATACTTGCTTCGTAACTTGATTAGTTAGGAATATTCCCAGTTCAACAAATTCTGAGAGATCTGACTATGGGTGTTTTTTTAACAAAATCCACGAAAAACTTTTTGTCAAATAAAATCCAATGAATCAAAGCTATTTAAAAAAAGAAAGTAACCTTACGTGAGTTACATAAAAGTTAATCCTAAATCCTTCTTTGCTTGTGATCCGAGCTAACCCAATACCTTTACCACAATAGTAATCAGCCTGATGAATAAGATGAGGATATCCGTTAGCAGTAAAGGGATGTGTGAACACACATTCTATAGTCCATTTTGAAAATATGCACATACCAGTTCCTATAAGGTTGCTATGAAATGATTAGTCAGCATTGTCAAATACATACCAGTAAAAGTAATTAGAGTACGGATACTTCTCGTCCAAAATGTTTCGAAGCTTTCTGTAATCTGATTCCAGCCAAATCTGCAAAAAGCTAGTTCAACGAGTACACCTACCTACCTCCTGAAGTAAAATCACATCGAAATCCCCAACTGATAACTTCGAGGCAATCGCATTGACACGGTCTTCTTTTCTCACAGTCGAAGACGGGAAAAACACGGCCCTAGAAGATTAGCTAGGGAAATTTTTCACAAACCAGCAATTAAATGTTAAAACCTTGAACTTTTCTTCAACCATGCTGTGAATTATAATATTAGGGGATAGCAGTGAAGCTTTACGACCCGGAGATAAGTTCCGGCGTTAGGTCTGCAGGAAAATCAAGAAGAAAAAGTTAAATACATAAGAAAAATAGCGCTGCCTAATTAAAGAGCATACAATATCACATTATTGTATCTAAAAGATATAACAACACAATATATAATACCCACGCAAGAAAAATAAGATGAGTCAACCTTTAAACTTTGCGAAACAATGATGATCTAAATGCTACTAGGATGGAATTGCCCCCGCTAAGTAGGAAATCCTTTACAAAGCAGTGGATAAGATTCGAAGGCCGCTCCGTTACTGAAATGTTGCCTTGCCAATCATATAAAGTTTGACTATACGAATGTAACCAATATGAGAGGATGTTAAGGTGACGTACTTTCAAAACATTTTAAATCACTAGTAAGTGAACTTGCTTTAGGTTTATTATGATTTGTTGCGAATCACGTTGATTTTGTGGAGTATCTTAAGTCATGCGTACAAATCGGAGTAATGAGTCTATTCACATGATTCTCAGTGAACATCTTCATGATTATTAAGGTCTTTGGACCGACGAATTTCTCCAACTTACTCTGTCCTGGGCCTTCGTTTCTAGTTCTATCCAGTTCTTGTTCACTCTTCTCATGTTTGTCTCTATTTCTCGGCGTAATGTGTTCCTTGGTCTTCCTCTTCTCCTTTGACCTTCAGGATTCCATGTGAGGGCTTGTCTTGTGACGCAATCGGGTGATTTCCTCAAAGTGTGCCCTATCCACTTCCAGCGCTTCCTCCTGATTTCTTCCTCCGCTGGAATCTAGTTTGTTGTCTCCCACAGTAACTTGTTGCTGATAGTGTCTGGCCATCGGATCCGAAGTATCTTGCGTAGACAACTGTTAATAAACACTTGTATCTTCTGGATAATGGCTTTCGTAGTTCTCCACGTCTCCGCCCCATACAATAGAACTGTCTTGACATTTGTATTGAAAATTCTAACCTTGGTGTTGGTTGACAATTGTTTTGAGCTCCAGATGTTTTTCAGTTGTAAGTATGCTGCTCTTGCTTTGCCGATCCGCGCCCTCACATCTGCATCTGATCCACCGTGTTCATCAATGATGCTGCCCAGATATGTAAAGGTTTCCACATCCTCCAAAGCTTCTCCGTCAAGTGTAATTTGATTGGTGCATATTGTGTTGTATCGGAGAGTCTTGCTTTTGCCTTTGTTTATATTGAGACCTACTGCTGCTGAGGCTGTTGCTACACTGGTCGTTTTCTCCTGCATTTGTTGTTGCGTTTGTGATAGAAGAGCCAGATCATCCGCGAAGTCTAGATCGTCAAGTTGCATCCTGCCTGTCCACTGTATCCCGTGCTTTCCTCCAGTCCTTGACGTCTTCATGATCCAGTCGATGACCAGGAGAAAGAGAAAGGGTGAGAGTAAGCAACCTTGCCTAACACCAGTCTTTACTTCAAACGAGTCGATGAGTTGTCCTCCATGGACGATTTGGCAGTTTAGTCCATCATAGGAGTTCCGTATGATATCGACTATCTTCTCAGGCACGCCGTGGTGTCGAAGAGGCCTCCATAGTGTCGTCCTGTCCACGCTATCAAATGTCTTCTCGTAGTCGATGAAGTTGATGTAGAGTGATGAATTCCATTCGATCGATTGTTCCACAATGATACGTAGAGTTGCGATTTGATCTGTGCACGATCTATCCTTACGAAATCCAGCTTGTTGATCTCGAAGGTGGGCGTCCACGGAATCCTTCATCCTGTTTAACAATACTCTGTTGAAGACTTTCCCTGGTATTGAGAGGAGAGTGATGCCCCTGTAGTTGTCGCACTTGCTCAGATCGCCTTTCTTTGGTATCTTGATCAGAATTCCTTTTTTCCAGTCTATTGGTACTTGTTCATCGTCCCAAATCTTACTGAAGAGGATGTGTAGTATCTTGGCAGTTGCTGCTACATTTGATTTCAGTGCCTCTGCCGGGATGTTGTCTGGTCCCGCTGCTTTGCCGCCCTTGACTTGTCTAATGGCCATGCTGATCTCTTCAATTGTTGGTGGGCCAACATCGATTGGGAGGTCTGTAGGTGCTGCTTCGATGTTGGGTGGGTTCAGTGGAGCTGGTCGATTTAAGAGTTCCTTGAAGTGTTCTACCCACCTGTTTCGTTGTTCTTCAATATCGTTGATTACTTTGCCTTCCTTGCATTTCACTGGTCTTTCTGGTTTACGGTAATTTCCAGCAAGTTTCTTTGTTGTATCATACAGTTGTCTCATGTTTCTCTCTCTTGCGGCCTTTTCCGCTGTCATTGCTAAATCTTCCACATATTTACGTTTGTCGGTTCTGATGTTCCTCTTCACTTGGTTGTTTGCCTCTGTGTATTCGGCTTGTGCCTTGGCTTTTTCCGCTCTGGTTCGGCTGATATTGATTGCTGCTTTCTTGTTCCTCCTTGCTTCAATCTTATCCAGTGTACCAACGGTGATCCATTCCTTGTGATGGTGCTTCTTTTGGCCCAGAACCTCTTGACACGTTGAAACGATTGCCTCCTTGATACCTTTCCAGTTGCTCTCCATGGTAGTCCCCTCTCCATTGAGTAGATCATGAAAGGCCTGGAACCTGATGCTGAGGGCTATGTTGAATTTGTTGAGTTTGTCAGCATCTCGAAGAAGTCGCAGCGGCTGCAATTAAATTAACTCCAGTTTTTTACCTGGTAAAATGATCCGAGCTATCCTTAGGGAAACAACCGAAAAGGAGATTTTTGAAAAGCATGTAAATTTCGACAATGAAATCGTCCGAAAATCTTATGCGGCAGTGCGTATTTTTTGTGTGGTAATGTCACGAAACAACCTCATTTTTAAATCTTTTACAGAGTGAACACTTTATACATTGCAGAATGAATAAGACCTGTAATGTTATATACCATATCGGCAGACCTCAAAGACCAGGTCGCATCCCATTTGATCAGTTCTTACGTAGCAAAAACTATCTCTCCAGTCCCTTCATCTTAGATGATTCTATTAATCCTGGTGCATCTTATATGCCTATCTACTTCATCACAGCTATCATGTCCAGCTAATAACCCATATATGTAAACCTCAGGCTTTTTCTACTAGCAAAACAACCATTTAAAAAAACAGAGGAATTGCTGAATTATGGTCTGAATTGGAATTATGTACATTTAATCTTTGATACTAGAAGAATAGATCTGATCCCCAAATTGTATATTTGTTGTGATTTGATTACCTATTCCATAAGATCATATGTGGAAGTCACATAATTGTCTACACTGACTCGCCTTACGTGACAGCCAAAAATATGACCTCTGACACTTCTGAAAGACACATTTTGGCGTGGGATGGAATAATATATGGGTATGAGAAGGAATTAGCCCCATTGAGTAACTGCTCTACCATCGCCAAGCCATGCTATAACGATTAGATGATCCGCGTCCACCGCTAATGACCTCTGTGTGTTAGGTGTTGAATGTGGTTCATTTCAGTTATTGTGTATTCTGCTTCAACGACTGTGTAATTGAGAACCAAAATCGCTATAAAAGCCATTAGATCGAGTTTATTCTGTCTGTTGTTGTATTCCCAGAATTCAGAGGCTCTGCCTATCGCTATAAACTCATTTCCAAACTGATGTGTCAACATCGCCTTTCGCCTATTCAACTCTTCTAATACTGACCAGAACTTACAAAACTTGTTGACTCCATGAAACACCATGAAATACTTTCAAGCTAAATACATTCATTTAACTCCTCTTGACGATTTGACATCGCACCTCCATTTTCTTAATAAAGCCTTAGTAATCCTCGAAGGCTCTGATAAATTAACTTGATACTTTCTCGGACAATTTAAGAAGTAACTATTCCTAAATTTCAACTGAATTTAGCTCAACATCTGCTAAACTTTTATCAAATAGTTAATCAGATAAAAGGAAGGTATCAAGATAATCATTACTCAGCCAACTAGGAGACAAGTGTTTGTGTTTATCCACAAACACAGGGATTATAGAACGGGTGAACCATAAAATAAGGAGTACTTGCTTTCAGTAGGGAATTCTGAAGTTAAACTCGAATCAGTTGTCAACTAGTATGAAATCGAATAAGAAACTAAAAATCAGACTGTGAACTGGAACATGTTAGAAACCAACCCCATAATTTCAGCTGGAGGTGAACAGAAATTAGGGACCGATAGAAGCTCAATGACAAACAGAAACTGTCATGATTAGTAAACCTACTACCAAATAATGAGAACATAAACATGCTGATCGACTCTCATACTGACTGCAGGGATATAAAAAACAATCGCTGAGCATACACATTTATTAATGTCACTTGAAAGCTCCAACCCGTTGAGCTTGGCAGAAGTATTGGATAGTCATTGGAATCAGTTTCAACATTAAAGGGCATAAGTAATTTTTTGGTTAGAAATTTCTTTATTTCCAGTCAGAGCTCCGAAACGTTATGAGTCATTTATTGAATGTCTAGAACTAGGACAGTGGACTCAATATGTTAGTAGCCCTACCAGACATCAAAATATCTTGGACTTAGTCTTTACCAGTGGCCTCACCCCCAATACTGTGTATATTGGAAAAAAGTTTCCAGGTAGTGATCATAACACTGTCGTATGCAGCCTTAATATAAAAAACACAAACGGTAGACGTAAAAATGTAACCCGTCGTAGAAACTATCGCAAGGTAGATTGGAATAATTTTCACAATTACCTAAGAAGCACTGACTGGGGAACATTCTTTACTGCAAACAATACCGACACACTAACCAATATATTTTATCACAACATCAAAAATATCATCAACAAAATCACACCTTTAGAGTACTGGAGACCTAAGTTTTCTAAAGATCTGTATATACCGGTCGGTACACAAAGACGTCTGCAGAGACATTGTACTCGCTTCTACAGCTCTAATGATTTCTCCTCTTTAGTAACGATGACAGAAATACTTGTCCAGACAGACGCAATAAGTACACAAAAAGCAATCGAACAGGAAAAACGTGCTGTCGAGCTTAGTAATAACTCCTCAGCACTCACCACACTCTTTAAAAATAAACTTAAACGTGCCAAGTCGAGAGGAAACATATTTATTAAAGACAAACAAGTATACGAAGATCCTAAACTTGTTACGGAACTATTTAATGAACACTTTTGTTCCTCATTAACTGATGAAGAACCACTTAATGATTCAGAACTTATCACAGCATCTGCCTTTGAGATTACTAACGTAGACTTCAATGTACAGAATATTTCTAAGGCAATTAGTACATTGAAACACTCCTACACTGATGGACCAGATGGTATTCCGGCTAGCATGCTAAAACGTGGAGGCGATGATATGTGTGTTTTATTACTCAAACTATTTGCGAT